TCTAAATAACATTAATTTATTTAATATTTGCCTTTTCGTAGATTTTACCGAATTAAATAATTTGACTTCATGATTTATTCGTACATCGATATACTTTTCATATTCAGCCCTTACAATTTCTATTAAATGATTACAATTCTTAGGCAAATTATCAAATTGATGTTCATGCAAATTTTCAAATATATTCACATTCAAAAAGTTTTTTAATACATGATAAACAATTTTATTTTTCTGTAGCCTAGGTGTTCTGCTTTCATCATTATTAAAAAATTTTATTAATTTTTCTGTTTCTTGGCATATTACTACGACATCTCGAGATGGCTACGTCAAACAACCACGTTCTTTAATAAAAATTGACTATGTATTTGACATTAAACTATTTACACAGTCTTCACATTTTATTGGCTTTATTAGAGAACTTGTTATTACGAAACCGCCAATATATACTATAATGTACTTGCTAGTGTCCAGTCCTGTTTCTTAATAGCCTTCACTCATCTTCGTTTTATGTCAACATTCCTTGGAAATCTGTAAAAATTTAAATATTAGGTTTGAAAAATTTAGAGATTATTTTTTTTGTCACAAAACTCTGAAATGAGTCTGAAATTAGTTTTGTTTGCAATTTTTTCAATTGAAAAAAGTATTTAATTAATTTTCAGCTATCTCGAAATGACGGGAATTGGTAAAATTTCATAAAAATTTGAGGCTCACATAAAGTAAATAATTACTAAAAATATTTTACAGTAATTCATTCATTATTTTATAATAACAATATCACGTTAATCACTACACTATGTGGGCGAACAAAATTATAAAACCTGGAAGCTTGTGCCGTCAACCGAAAAATGGCGTACATATTTACCTTTTATATATTCCTTTTTTTACTTACCTAAAGAAGGAATATTTTCGCCTCTCTTCACCAACTCGATCACTTCTATTTATACAATGTTTTACAATACACTTGCCCATGATAAAACGTCTAATTATAGAAATCACAGCGATGCGTACACGTCAAATGCTAGGACACGACTGAGCGCTGGGCTCCAAATCAGGCTCCGAAGTGTTTTCACCAAAGTCGCTCTATAAGCCAGTCTAGGTGGTCTATGGGGGAGTCTGTGGCATTCAGTGGGCAAAATTAAATTAACATTTTTACTACTTGACACGGGACAACCTGTACCTACGTTCAACGCTAACCGAATAACCTTTACCCTACAGGATCGGCGCTCAAACGTAAATCAGGCCCCTTTAATTCCCTATCCGACTGTTTTGAAATCGCAATTGTTTTAAACTGCGGCATTATAAAGCTATTTGTCCAACACAATAGTAGTGCTAAGCCTTTGTATGTTCACGTCGTGCTTTTAAAGAAGTACACATAGCTAATTCGTGACAGATGGACACTTGGAAACGTTCCATCGGACTCGGAAACAATGTCGGGGAAATTAAAATGTGGGCATAAATGTTGGCCTGTGTGTATAATACTACATTATATGAAAATTATATTATAGACTTTGCAATAGTTCTTCTTCTATCGTCATTGATAGGTTGTTTAAGCGCTTCTGTATCATCGTATTTCTTAAGTAGGTACCTAAGTCTTATTGCGCTTAAGACACAAAGTTTCTTTCTACCGAGACACTTGTTGCAGGAATTGTTAAAACGGCAAAGCTACTTGTATGTTTCCGAAAATACCATTTTAAATTCAAAAATATCAAATTCGTTTTTCAACCTATCTATTTCAAAAACTTTAGGATGCATTTGTAATAAACATTCAAACGATTTTTCGGAAAATTCGTTTGTATATTCGGGAAAGTTTAAGGGGAAATATATTTTGAACATTCCTTCGTTATTCTTTTCATTTTGTTTCATAACTTTCGTGTTTTAATATGTTGCTGGGAAACATACAGACTGCATTCTTGAAAATTCTTATATTACGTTGACGAAGAAATCGACAATAGTGCAAGAGTGCAGAAGTGGTGATTTTTTTTTAATGGTCAACGCAATTCTTTTGTGGAAACTACTTTTACAGAAAACTTCCTAAAGAAATCCAACTCGACATCTGTGCGAAGTTCCTCCGGAATCGTTTAAAATTTCTCCAGTCTGAAACTTATGTGAATAAGATAGAATTTTATTAGCTAAATCTGGGACAACCAGTACTTAATAAACTTGTTAAAACGAATGAAAGTAAAACAGTCGAATTGAAGTAGTTTTATAACAAACTCAGTTCAAAATAAGAATAGTATTCTCTCAACTTATTCGTTGTAATGTGTGGTATTAGTAAGATATATATTTTATACATATCCTTAATAGAATCTTTTTTTGTACCTTGTATAAACGGTGTATATCATCCCGGTAAATTGTCTTTCTGAAATGAATTTTAAGACGAGAAATCAAAGGAGCTTAGGTCACGAAAACCGCATAGGATCTTCTGTATATTTTTGCATTTACTCTGAATAAATCTTAAAGTGCTATCCACTGATTCCTCTATATATTCCCAAGCAAGACAACTGGTTAAATAGCGGTTTACTTGACGTTAAAAACTTTTCCTTACAACGTTGTAGTGACTTTAATAAACTCAAAACTGAAGTATTTACAAAAATTTCATTAAATGAGGCTTTGATAATTTTTTCTGTAGATCAGGGCTTAGTTGCGATCCTTGTGTTCAGCACAATTCCGCCACTAGGGAACCCAAAATAAGGTTCCAGCGGTACACAACCGTTATTTCTAACTGAGGAATTCATTGAATAGACGGGAATTTGAAATAATGCGAATTGTATTAAACACAAAGCAATTATTTATGTGGTAACTGTTCCATTGCATTGTGAACCAAATACTTCAATGTCTTATGACGGAAATACAAACAATACGTTTGATTTAATTTTCTGTATAATCCATAACAATGCAACGAATAAATAAGATGGATTGAAGGGCGCCCAACATCAGTTGCTTATGAGTATGTTGGATTAACCGCATATTGAATTAAATTAAAAAAAAAATTATTCAACTACGCCTAATTTTAAGTAAAAATGGTACAAATTTTTGTAAGTTGAAACATTACCATATTAAGTCATATTTTAATTATGACTTTTCTGCTGGTACAATTTATACCGACTTTTTTAAGGCTTTTGACAGAATTGACCACGGTATATTTTTGAAAAATTAAAATAATTTGGATTCTCTGATCATCTGATTGACTTAATTAAAGCATACTTAACCAGCAGAATCCTATGTCTGATTCATCAAAATTGTATGTCAGTGAAAGTAAAAACTTACTCTGGAGTCCTGCAAGGATCAGTTTTAGGGCCTTTATTTCTTGATTTGTTTATAAATGGCATATTTTCGAAATTTGTTCAAATGTAGATTGTTTATTGCTGCTGATCTGAATATATTTTTTTCAAAATATGTCTAATATTATTACTGTTACATCAGCAAACTTAGATAGCGTTTGTAATTGGTTTGGGATGAACAATTTAAAAAATTTTTGAAGTGATTTGTTATGTCTCTTACCACAAAGCAAGTAGTCAAGTATAATTATCATTTTATCAACAATTTATTAAAGTACCAAATACCTATTGCGATAAAAGTAACGCAGGATTTGAATGGTGCCCATTTTCATTCCGAAGAATTGGCAGTATTGTGCATTAAAACTACTTACACCATATTATTAATATCAATTAGAACATGTGTCTACAATTTGGTGTTCTAAGTGACATATGGCATGTAATGATAATCTGGAATGAATTCAAAGGCGTTTTCTTCTGTCTGGTCGCCCAGTTGAAGAATGAGCGCGCGTGCAAACGCGGTACAAACACAGCCGCACTGGGCGACCGGCCATAAATTTCAGTTGTCGACAAATTGCGTAACAGTGCAGTGCAGCAATGCGGAAATGGGTGTAATTCAGGTAATTTTAATTTGTTATAGGCACCTTCTATTACAATTGCGAAAGGGAGAAATAAGAGAGATATTTTGTTAACTAATATTATTTCAACATGGCATTTTGGAGACCTTTTGAAACGGAACAAAACGAAATTTACCATCAATATAATAAAATGTTTGAGGACATAAATAATTAAAATATGTTGTTGGTCAAATGAACATATAGAAATTTTCTACACATTATATATAAATTATTATAATTTTTTACCTTTAACAGAAATCTTTTTTAGGGACGCCTATGAAACTAATTAAAGTTTATTGCTAGGCGTTTTTATACACGTTCAACTGACTGAGGAAAGACTATACTTGCCAACGCCACTAACTAATATAAAAAGTTGTTTTAATTTGTGCATAATATCGTTAATAATATGGCCTTAACAATTGATATATTTCATTGTTCACTTGCCAATATGAGGCAGAGGCACTATAATTTTTAAAAAAAAATTGTAACTGTTTTATATTCCCTACTTTACCTACTGACTACCTTTTTATGTTTATTATTGCATTACATTTCGTTTTGTTTGTATATTTCATATTCTATTTATTTCTGTTTATTTTGATATTGTTTTTATTATTACACGCAATTTTTTCATTTTTTTACCCATTTCGTATTTCATTTTTTAGTTTATTCCCATCAACTATTCTTTTCTTATTGATTATATCTATATAATATGTTATTTTTAATTACACTTACTCAATTCTGCAAGAATTTTATAAAAATATTTTAATAAATTCAAATCCCTCGACATTGAGGATCATTAAACCGTAACTAACATTCCATACCGGGGTACCTCCACAAAAGAGCGTCATAATTTCAGCATTCGACTTGTCCTAGGATGTACTAATTGCTCGCATTCACTCATTCACAGCCTTGCCCATCCTTCGGCACTGTACCCACCTTAGAAACATCAAAGATGACCGATATGATACATATCGCTGTTCCTTGCGCCTCGAGCAATGTCCTTGCGTGTAAAATTTTCAAATATTAATTATTGTGGCATCACAATTAGAAGATAGTGTCCGCGTATATATAGTGATGTGTTCCTTATTGTCTCATACGTTGGTGGTACTTTCCAAGAGAAGTTTCTTTGCTATTGTAGACTATATCGTACAAAAATGAAGGTGGTGAGTCGATTTTTTCCGTAGATTGTTTTAATGCGTCATCGTGATGTCATTTTAAATCAAAATTTAAAAAACTGTGTGCGCTTATTAAAATTATGTTAATACTAATAATACTACAAAGACACAAAGCGGAAATAAACAACAAAAGACAGATATTAAAATAAATTGAATATTTAACATTTATTTGTTGTTGTTCCTATTAGTAATAAATATTTCTTCTATTTTTTTCAGTTACTCTGCGTTATTTTAATATTTACCTTGGTGAGTGCAGAAAAACTACAAAGCAACTATTTACCGCCAATCACTGCCCAAAGTGCAGCAGGAAGTAGTAGTTTTTTGTCAGCACCACGTCCGTTTTCAGGATTTTCTGCGAGCTCAGGATCTGCCTTCACACAATCAGGTAGGATTTTTTAATTATTTAAAAATTATATACTGACCTTTACAACAACACTCTTGCACATATCTGAATGTAAAACCTAAATTCTGAAATGAAAGGTATTGCGACATCATACGCCGCCCCACCATCCGGACCTGTGCCCTCCGGAGTTTATAACGCTCCTATCGGACATTATTCAACAGGGGTTCCAATTGCTATCCTACGATTCAACAATGAAAACACCGGCGACGGTAGTTATAGATTCGAGTAAGTCTTAAATAAGTTTTCAATTAAAAAGGCAGTTACTGTAGGTTAAGAAGAAACATTTTAAGAAAACAATATATTTCTCTTAATTATGACACTCTTAAATCTGTAGAATTGTTTCAGAAATAACCAAAATCAACATAGGTGTTCCGCAAGGGTCTATATTAGGTCCGTATAGTTTTTTGTTGTATATAAATGACGTACTATGTATATGTAATAACGCATTGAATTACTTGAGAGTATGGTTTCAAACGAAGTGTTCATTTCGACACAAAGAAAACGATTACAATGAGGTTTTATAATAAACAGAAAATATGTAACAATATAGACATTCTGCTTATTTTATATTATGTGATTCTCGGATCCTGACGTGTCATATCAGACATATCAAGACAAATCAGATGTTTTTCCCAATTCTAGTTACCAAACCGAGAACAAAATAAGCCAAGCAGAACAGGGCCACCTACAGAACGCAGGAACCGACCAAGCATCATCTGTGGTCCATGGTACTTACTCCTACGAAGCGCCCAACGGTCAGACCATAACTGTCACTTACGTGGCCGATGAAAACGGTTTCAGGGCATCAGGGGACCATATCCCCACTCCACCACCAATACCGGCAGCTATCCAGAAGTCTTTACAATTCAGTTCGTCGGATTTGAGTACGGCTGGGTATTCTTCGTCTTCTTCTTTTAGCGGTGGCGTTTCTTCAACATTCGGAACTACCCCGCAGCACCCGCAAATCGCCAGGCAGTACCTTGGTCCTAGTACCAAGTCAACCGGTGGTTACCGCTATTAAATTATGTCATCAGTCTGTAAAAATTAATGTACATATAGATATTAGTTAGTGTGTCAAGTAAATGACTTGCAAATTGGTTGAGTATTTTTTTCCATGCCCTGTCCACACGGGATCTTTAGCTAGCTGTGTGTCTCTGGTTGTCGTTCGTCGTGCCGGAAGACGGTAAAGCGGTGATTCTTTTCTCTATACCACTTTGGATTGGAAATTCGAAAGTTTAGCGATTTTTTGTAACTAAAACAGAAAAAGTGCTAATTTAATAAGACAATCACAGTTCTCGTTCTATAAAAAGCTTACCTATTACAAGAAATAATACATTCCGGATATCAAACGTGAAAATAAGTTTTGTGTGCAGAATTTTACACGAACGTTTTACCTCTTTTTATCATAAAACGGCGTTGTTTTGTTCGGTGCTCTCTGTTTGTGGCAAGGCCTTTGCTGAAAACAAAGCACTTTATTAAAACTGAAAATGAACTGTGTAGTTGAGTATTTGCGTTAGGTACTTGACGTAAATTCTTCAGCAATGGCAATTAAAATTAATTTTCAATTATTTTTTGGTTAAATTGCAGCATTAAACCGTGTATCAGTGCATTATCTATATTTATGATTACATACAACTAAATTAATGACCAAAAGTACTATGTAACTGTTAAAGGAATACATATGTACTCATTTTATTACTACAAACTTTCTTAACCTGTAAGAGTTAAAAAATTGAACTGTACCTGTTCAGACTTTGCAGAGGATTTACTTTTACAGCAAAAAAAACTTCGGGTTGTTCCTTGATGGCGGTATAAGGAAAGCCTTAGAGACACAAAGAGATAAAATAAAGGCGTCTAGGGATCATTCGGCCTAAAATTAACTGTCCTTTAATTGGAACAAACGATTTATTGCCACAAGAAACGAAAAATACACCTCTTAAAGGATGATATGCGATAATTAGACGAAAACAGAAAACTTTGTTTTAAAATTCAGTTAAAATGAGCAATATATAAATATAATAAGACCGTCATTAGATGACATGATTAAAAAAAACTTCCCAACATTTCCAAAATTAACAACCCTCTGAAACATGTACAGGCAACCTGAAAAACAATAGGTTGTATTTCAAGTTGCATAAGCGTCGCGTAAGGACTGCTGATAAAATTTATTTATTTACATTAAAAAGTCTATTCATTAAACAAACTCGGTCTTCATTTTAATTTAAGAACGTGCAAAGTGTTTGTTTTATCACCCACCTGTATTTTGCGTATTATTATTATATATTCATTATAAACAATGTCAACAATTATGATAGCGCATACAAATTGCTGAGAATTATCAAAGTTCTTATCTTATCTACTTTAAAATAAATAAACAACTAACAATCCTAAGCAAATATTTGGTATTAGGTAGATAAGGGAACATCTATTGAATATTGAATATTTTCTGCTCGTCGAGTGACAGTCTGCCTGGCGCTTTACTTTAATTTTATTTTTGTTTTTGTAATGTTGGCTGACCGATTACACTGATTTGCTACTTTGCTGTTGACAAATGACAAATGATTACTGAACTGATAGTATAAAAACAACTAGAGGAGAGTGAGTAAATAGTAATCTTACTGGGGGGCGTTTTGGCCTACATTTGTTGTTAGTACACATTTGAAGTACTGCGAAATCAAGTCGGACGAATTTTACTTTCAATAGCTTAAAATGGAGTGAGTGATATTGCAAATGCATAATTAAATACAACACCTTTATTACGTTTGTCATTTTGGTAAGTACGAATTTCTAATATATGTAATAGTTGTCACTATTTTAACACAGGTTTAATAATATTCTATTTATATATCGGTATGTGTTTGAAAGTTGTTACGATTTTCAGTTTCCTTAACCATGGCTCGTAGGTTTGTAACAAATTTAATGCAGTGGTTGCACCCTAAAGATGATGAGAGGAATTTGATATCCGCTACATTCCACATGATCACCATAACCCTTATAAGTATGTCTCTGGTAGACTTGACTTGGTTCAACGTCTCGGGGACGCTTTGTGTACCTTACTTGACTCTGGGCCAGTTTTTTTGGTTCGGTTTCACCAAGGACGGAATAGATTATTCGGGTAAGATTCGTACCATATACTGTCTTAGTAGTGCGATATTTTTAAGCACATAACCTAAAATGAAAATTCTAATAGAAATTAACGAAATTTTCTTTGAGTTATGAAGGTTTTGTATATAAAAACATATGGTTGAAAGTTGATAGTTGTTGTTAAAATATGAATGTTTAAAAAGAAATTAAACAAGTTTATTTAGAAACAAGTTAAAAGTTTTCCTTGTGGGATTATGCTTTTTTTCAGAATTTATGCACTTTTGCAATTCTTTGACTGAATTAAACAATCTGTAATTTTAATTTCTATAGTCAGAATTAGCATATTAGTTGTTTTCGAGGAAAACACTCATTTTTATGTGGTCAACCGACTTCGTTCTGTGATAAAATTCTAACAAGTGTATTTATTCATTTTTCAGTGTCTTGCACTGAATAAATTGATTATGAAATTGTATTAATTTTGATTTTTATTATTTGTTAGAATTGTTTTGTTAAATTCCTTGAATATTATCCTAATATTGTAATACAATCTGCAATTCCTGGATTTTTTTGAAAATATACCACCTGTAACATTTCTGTGAATTTTTATGGTAAACAGACATTAAGTAGCTGCCTGAAAAACAAATCAATAATTGCGTTCACATTCCCAGTATTAAACGAAGCATTCATTATAGAGTCAAGGTCATACAGTTTGAACCTATTTAGAATTATAATTTATTATGGAAAACCTTGGTACAACAATTGCCCACAAAGCCATATATAGTCACCGGGTCCTGTTTGACTTCTTTCGTGACATTGAATAGAGGACAGGTGTTGAATTTAAAGATGTAATTTTATTGCAGTCTGATGTGTAGCACGTAAGTGCAGCCTTTGAAAAAATTGTTTTGCATTGTCACGAACAACTGAATAAAGCTTTGATGACGTGAAATAGAGTGTACCGCTTGGTAGTTTCATGTTTTCAACCGATGTAAATTGTAACGTTTTTTTAACTAAATAGTGATTAAACTAATATATTTTTATAATTGTAGCCAAAAAATCGAATTATTTATAATTTGGTGACTTCTGTATAGAGCTTTTTAAAAAAAAATTTACACAGAAATTTTTTCACTATTTTTATTTTGCGGGTTAAAGTTACTTTTTTTTAATAGAAACCTGGTTCAAAAGGCATTTTCCACAAACAAACCCATTGCTTGCTATATTTATTTGAAGTAAAAAATTTCTATACAGGGTGTGACAGTCATTTCAGGAACACGTAGATAATTTGCTGCTTTGTACATTGTCCATAAATAACAAACGAATTAAAATAATCCTCATTAGTATAATTTAAACGATCCCCAGGCATTTTTATTTAAATTCTCGCTAAAAACTGTTACAGACAACAATAATTTGACAAGTAACTTGACAAATGTTAAGTTATTTCAATTGTTTTTGGAGTGTTTCTGGTCATGGCCAATTTGATAACAGGTCTGATAGAGGAAAACTGTCCAAAAAATAGAAAATTGCAAATATCTCTAAAAGTAGTAACGTCAACCCTAACAATGCTTATATGGCTTGAAAGGAAATTTAAGTCTGCGTACGACAGAGTAAAAAATACAGGGTGTTCCATTTAAGTTAACAAAGTTATAGTTGTTTGAAGTTACCAAAATGTAACAGCAAAAATGAAACACCTAGTATTAAATGTTTTAATTTGTTGGTATGCCATAATTTAGTGTTACCCATGCCCTTTACAAGTACCAAAAATCCACTTGATATCGTGATCCTGAAAATAGTTACTAGCATCTCCGCGGACCCTTGCATCTATCAAATTTTTTCTTTAAAAATTAATATCTCAAAATCCATAACTTGTAGGTGTAAGGAAGATTTAATAAAGTGGCCCTCAAATTTCACGTAGAATCCGAAAATGCAATAATATATAGGGTATTCCATTTAAAATAAGAAAGTTAATGTCGGATTTCGGTATAACCGGAAGAGCCATAAAGTTCTAAACATTTTAGCTGTGTTGGACCTGCTGCCTTTGCTAGGTTGCCAAATTTTCAGATTTATGGGATCGGTACTTTCCGGGATATCGATAGTGGCGATTCCTGATGGGACACCCTGTATATACACTGCGTTTCACTTTTCATGGGACCGCCCTTATATCTCTGTTATTTACACATGAAAAGCTTTTTCTGTTGGGTATGAAAAAGTTACCAGCAAAGTGATTATTCTGATATAAACAGAAATTTATTTTATTTTATTACTCATATTTTGAACACTTTTACAGATATTTCCGGAAGTGTTATGTTAGAATATAGTATTTATTTCTACATAAAAAAATCGCTAATATATATATATTGTATTCTTTCATTTTGAAACCGAACACGTATGACGAAAATATCAAATAATCGTGATATTCGTGATATCAGGGTATTCTATGAAAAGTGCTAACATCTACATGCAGTTGTTTTTCTCCATGACCAACTATAATCGACAACGGCACAAGATTCTGTCCAGTGTAGCATTTGTTTGAAATCACGGCCAACTTTTAAATTTTTGGTTTACAAAATGAAAAACAGCTGTACCTAATTTTTTTACTTGTGATTTTGCGAGAAGGCATGACAAACTAAATATTTTTTAAAGCATGGTACATTCTCTTTTTAACTAGACCATGGCCAACTTTGGTTTCCATTTAAAAAATTTTGAAAGCAACTGTTTAACGTCAAAACATCAAAAATTTTTATTGACCTAAAGATTTCTTTCGAAAACATGTATGTTTAGTAATAAATAACATTGTTTGTAATCATATGCTCTCTTTCAGAATATCGCTGTATCAACACCACAATCGTAAACATGATGAGAACTACGATTTTATTGTGTTTTATGACGATTATCTTTGCGTTGTTAGGGTTCTTCCTCGACATAATCGGACCGAAAGGGTTGTTGTATAGAATGGCAAGGAAGTATGGCGTCCTTGGTACATGTACGGGTAAAATATCGACGTAATAGACAACTCCATTTTGAGTATCAACTTATTTTGTTTTAGTGCTGTGGATAATGGCTATTATAAGTCTGTCGTATTATATAGTTGTTCTGCTAGAGGATTCTATAGGTAAAATTAATCCGAACCTTGATGCTGAGGTGACTTATGGACTGGGTTTTTATTTAGTGGCCGCATCGGGTAAATATTTCCTTCGTTGATAACGGTGATTTTTTTATGACGATTTGTAATTGCAAACTTAATTAAGTCTCGAATTTCTCTTTGAAACGTATAAAGTATTTTTCTTCGTTTAGTTGTAATTTGGAAAGTTTTACTTTTTTTACTGATTTGAAATTATTGTCATCATTATTAATTAAGGTTTAAATTTCACATATTTTAGTGAATTTTTAGCAGTTTTTTTATCATATTTGAATAAATTATTTATTTATTACAAATACTTAAAGTCGGAGAATTGCCACAGACACGTACGATTGTGAGAAAAAGGATGTGGTTTTGTAAATAGGAAATTGATTACCCACGTAATCATTCATATTTTCCTTGGCTTCATTTTTATAAAATTATGTGATAAGGATGCATTTAAAATAATTTTTACGCAGCACGATTTACTCAACGCTGCATACCATGGAATCAGCACGTGTTGGTACCATTAAAAGAAAACTAAAAATTGTTCGCAAATACTTATCACTTTGATAATTTCTTTGTAATGATGCCAAGTTTGTTTCTTTGAATTATTAATTAAATTAATAGGAGCAAAGATCTGAACAGAACATTGTCCATTCCTTCCAATCACATTTTCTTTTCTGGCAACTTTAAACAATTAATTCACTATTTCCTATAAATAGAATTATGCCACTCACTAAGTATTATATAATTCTTAAATTGTATCGTAAAAAAATTTACGCAGCAGTTAAGGTCTAAGTGAAGTGTACAATGAAACATTGCAGTTAAATTTTTTTCTGAGGAAGAAACAAAATTACTTATTGACAAAAGAGAAAGTTGAAACGTTCTCCAGCGGTGGTAGTCACGGTAAATGGCTTTTCACAATCTAATTAATGTTTTCTTAGGTTTGCCGTAAAACTGAAATCCGATTAATTGGCTTGTAATAATGGTCTTTTTGTTACGGACTTTTTTTTATCAACAATTTTGTTTTAATCTGTATTAGATCGCATGTTGGGCTAAAATTTAAACCACTTTCAAACAGTTTTTCATTTTTTGGGTATTTTACGGGACTCCAAACTGAAAAAAAATTAAAAAACAAAAAAAACACTTCTGTCACAAGAATCACTTCGGGGTGGTTTTTACCAAGTTTATTTTTGTCTGCTTTGAAAAATTCTATTTGTCTCCCACTTTTGTTATTAAAATCGATCAATATCGATGTGAATTTTGACTAAAATGTGATAGTTTATAACTTATTTATTTTTTCACAGCAGTTATTCACAATTTTTTCCTTAGGTACATAATTCTGTCAAAATAACCGAAATTGTTCATTGTGACTGCAGACTGCACATATTTATATCGATCAGAAAAACTAGATCGAATAAAAATATCTAGTATGGCAGCTGTAAGAGTTAATTTCGGTATACATCTTTGACGCTTATTGGCTAATACTCGTTTTTTTTGTTTCTTGAGTTTTAATGGAGTAAAATACCTAAAAAGAAAAAATACCACAAAAAAAATGAAGTACCAATTTCATGGTCCATATTTTTAGGAGGTGTTTCCTGCCTGGGGATAATATACACCCTCATCCTTCCATTTAATTCTTCCACTTATCTAAGGGACGACGACAGATGCCTTATCGATGGATTCGAGGACGGTTTGGACACCTTCAACAGTCCAACGCCGCCACCCCCGTACAGTATACCACCCCCGCCCTATACCCCTTGATACAAGACGATAGGCTACTAAACCAAAGCAGAGTACGGCGGGCACAGCAAGACCCGAGTTTGAAAACTTTTACTCTTAACAGACAATCTCTTTGTTTTCTCGACATATGTGATATAGAAAGGGGTGAAGGGTGGTTTTTCTTAGTGACATATCGGATTGTTTTTGATGTTACAGTTCTGTTTGCGGTTCTAACTTTACGGTCTTACTTTGCCCGCTGCACGCAGACATATATGTATATTTAGAAAAGTATATTTTGCTATTATAAAAAAACTATATATTTACTGTAACAATACATGTGATAGAGGTTACTATCTAGTCTATTAAGGTCTGTCCTCGGTTTCCTTTGGAATATAACGAATTTGAATCTTTTGGAAAGCGTCGGTGTGGGGAAATACCGAGACGGGAGATATAAATCTGTTTCAGTTTTGATTTTTAAGTGATGGAAGGTACAAAACGTAATTGAAATATTGTTTAAATATGCAGGTGCGCAAAAAACATGTTTTATTGTCTATTTCTTTGAAAGACTGGACTAAATTCAAAATATATTCAATTATGCTTTTCGTGTATTTTTGTGTACACCCTGTATATATGTTTTATTAGTTACTGTATATATTTCCTAGGCTTATATTATTTCTGTATTTTGTTTAGGTTAATCTTGTAGGTGTTGCATAAGGTCCGTCGAGGAGTTGATTTTTGTTTTTCGGTTATTTGTTTTTTTTGCCATTTCTATATCTGTCGTAAATTTGTACGTTTTTGCAACTTTTCAGTTTCAATATTGCAATAAATGGTACTTAAAAATTAACGAGACTAGATTTTCAGTTTAAAAATGGAAATGGCAGAGTTTGGACCTAACACACTTTTTAAATTTGCATGTAAACGGTACTAGGATAAGGATTTGTTTGTTTTTTTATTTGTTTCGTTTCCTTTAAAATGCTTTTAAAAGTTAATAAAGAAAACTTATTTTTTAATGTATTTTCAGTTTTAACCTAACATTTTGTATCCCAAGGAGCGCAGATGGAACTTGTGTGGAGAGGGGGCGGCGTACTGATATCGTATTTTCTATAAGGGGTAAAAAAATACGGATTTTGAAACAGACCAACATTTATTTCATAATCTTTTTATAAAACATTCTTAACAATAATATGAAACAGTCCAAGCCACACCTTAAAAGCATAAAAAGTTTATATAAAAAATGAGAAAAATCGATATTAAATAAAAACTAAAATAAGTACGCAGTACGGGAAATATTTCAGGCTAAGCTGAAGTAACAAAGAATTCTATTCTTTCATTAACCAGTGCCTATTGTCAACTGGGGATATCTTTTGGCAGAGGTTACCTTTCTTGAGCAACGAATTTTTAAACCATTTAGATTCGCCTCGATGGTTTCTGTGGTTATTGCGTGAGTACGAAGCCTAACAATTCTAGGTCCAACGTGCCTTTTTGCAAAAATATTCACCAAATTTTTATATATTTCTCTGAGAATTTGTACAGCCATGGACGAAAAAGTATCTAAGCTAAAATTTTTAATTTGGTTTAAAAGATCTTTAATATCTCTTTTACTGGAAGTTATTTTGATTCATGCTTGGTTCTTTTTACACGTGGCAAAATACCCAAATAAGCAAAGAAAAATTAACAAAAACCTCGTTTTATAACGGACTATAATAATAGTTCGGAATAGTATAACAGAATAAAATAATAGTTCAGGCCAGAAACTTTTTATTGTCCACAGCTGTACATTGATATAAAGAAAATGAATTGCATGATAGTGGTTTTTGAAAAAAGGCATTGGGTACAATAAAATAAAAAATTTCTTGATGTTAATCGTGTAAAAAAATATCTACAGCGACAAAAAAGCTTGATTTTACCGGAACATTGTTCTTTATGCATAAATTACGAAACATCTTGTAATTTATAAATCGTGAATTAGAAGACTTTCATTGATACAGGGTGGTCCAATTTATAAGTATACAGGGTGGACCAAATTCAACACTTGGGGGTTTTTCTAATTCCCCAGTTAGAAAAAAAAACAAGTGTCACGATCTCGATTTTGATTTCTTATTACATTTAAGAGATACAGAGTATTTTTCAATTTTGATCACTTTTTTGCTTGTGAAAATATTAGACTTGATGTATTTTAGTTTTTTCAATTAAGAGTGCATCTGAGTTTCTATATTTTATAGAACTTTTGTGTAAATATCGCGTGTGATTTCATTTAAAAGCAAATTGTACAAAGATTTCAAAGATTTAAAAACCTAACATTTTCACAAACAAAAAAATTATAGGAGTATTGTGGTAAACGGCCAAAATTAAAAAATGCCTTCTATCTCTTAAAAGAATCTAGATATCGAGATGCAGAGTGTCGAATTGGGCCTGTCCGATACAAACCGAGGATATAAATAAGAACAAAAGAAGTTTAAATATTCCTTTTCAAGAGGGCTCTTAGCAAATAGGCAACCAGCAATACATTTTTATAGATTTTATTGCACAGTTTGTCTAAATATGAATTAATGCACAAATAACAGACTTTCCTCCATTCTACCGCAGATTTTTTATAAAATGGAGTTAGTTTGGAACTTAAATTACTTTTTGGTGTAAAGAAATTTGTAATTTGCTTGTTCAAAAGCGGCAAATTACAAATTTCTCTACAACAAACCGTAATTTAAGTTTCAAACTAACTCCATTTTATAGAAAATCTGCGTTAGAATGGAGGAAAGTCTGTTATTTGTGCATTAATTCATATTTACACAAACTGTGTGTGCCAATAAAATTTTTATCGAAAAAAATCTTAACACGTTTTAATTCTGTATATCCATAAATCAGCATACCTTGTATATTAAAAAAAGAAACAATTAAACATGAAGCTATTTCAACTGAAAAGAGGAATATGCTATACTATTTGTTAGGTACGAGGTTTGACCAAAAACTAACGGGAGCTTTCAAATTACGGGTGTTGTATCTTATCTTGTCTATCAAGTCGATTTTTTTTGTAGCATTGTCATTGAAGTACCTGCCAATTTTTAGGCAGCTGCCACGTTTAGTTTGTGTACGCAAGTGAATGAGTATGACTTACCTCAGCATTCTTGCGATTTTTTGTGTGGCGACATGGCGTAACGGAGATTTTGTCTGATCTTTTGTTAGAAGCGGAATTAAGTGCAGTGAAACGTTCAAAATGTTAAAAGAGGCCTTTGGTAACGATACTGCCACAGCCACCAAGAAGACATCGAAGATGAGGCGAGATCTGGCCCTTTTAACCGTTTTCTTCGATTACAACAGAATCGTTCATGAATTTTTATTGCCCCGGTTGTATACTTAACAAGGAGTCCTACCTATGAGTTTTGCACAGTCTGCGAGAAGTAATAAGGAAAAAACGAAACGAATGCGAGAGACATCTTGTGGATTTTTCACCACGACAAAGAAACGGGTGCATTTGCTTATCCAACAATTCTTGGCGAAACACAACAATGTTGTGATGCCGCAACCACCCTATTCTCCAACATGACTTTTTCCTATTTCCGAAACGCAAAATGACACTCAAAGGACGTTTTTCAAGAATAGACGAGATAAAGGCAAAATCGCAAACCATGCTCAAGACGATACGTAAAGAGGCGTACTACCGATGTTTTCCAAACTGGAAATTATGATGACAAGTGTATAATCACACTTTGAAGGCGATCGGATAAAAATTGAGGATTATAAATACTTTCCGAAAAAATTAACAATTCCCGTTATTTTTTTATCAAACCTCGTATAAGAATACTTATTTTCAAATCAAATATATCGTGTTCAATAACACGAAATTATTATTATTTTTTTAAATTGCACTGGGACTTTATTCGAATGTGGTTTTCAATTGTAAAACGGATAATGTGAAATAACCATTGACAAAATTAAACCATCGCTAGGGAAACCTAATTGCGCAGTTAAATAGCTTTCAAATCGAAATTCCAATTGATACAGCCTCACGTTTCATACAAAAATATGTTCATTTGGAAATCAGGTACTTTCCAATTTGTGAAAAAAGGCTCAAAAAGTGTCACGAATCGCAACAGTAAAAAGTTCGCTTCCACTAAATGATTAATAAATTACTTTTTACTGCTATTGTAACTGTTGTGAATATGATTTAAAAAATCGAAATTTGGCATCTCGAGGGGTGCTAACGAGGGCAATGCTGTGGTCTCGTGTATAACATCCGGGCTTAATTCGCTACTCGGTGAAAATACGTACGGAGACGTGGCCCCGGAAGAGTCCGTCACGACTTTTAGACTTGAATTATTTTTTGATTGAGCTGGAAAAAGTTAGGTTATAAGATAAATAATCACTAAGTGTAAAGCATACCTTTTTCTTTTTCACTCTCTAGAACAGTGATCCTTTCTTTCAATTTTTCAATTTCTTTATTACGATCGTCTAGTTCCGCCAAGAGACACTGAACGGTACTTCTTAGTTGCCCACTGAGTACTTTTAATTCCTCGATCATCTGAGATTCATCTTTGGGATGTTTGTTGCCTACTATTTGAGCTCTTTCGGATTTTTCTTCAGTGTCGCTTGTCGATTTTAAGCTGTCGTTATCGCTACCAGTACCACGTTTACCTATACAAAATTATCGCAGGATAAAACCTGAAATATGTGAATTTCACTTCAAACTCACCAAGATATTCTATGAGAGAATCGTGCACTTGAAACGTCCTATAAAATACAGCTTCCAAGTTTTCTCCGTCCTGCCCTTCCATATTCCGAGCGGATATCTTTCTTCTCTGATCCTCTAACGACTTTATATAATATTCCTGTTGTGCTCTCTTCAAGTTCACAAACTTTATTTGTTTCTGATGGTATTCCTTCTGCAAATTTAGTGATTCCAACGCTCTTATATTTTCCGTTAATTTACAAGTTTGCGACAACAAATCGATGGCGTTTCTGTGACATTCGATGCACTCATCGAATTTTTTGTGACATAATAATGCCTCTGCCTTACGCTGTTCCTGGTGTGCCTTGAAATATTTATAACTGATAAAATAAATATAATATAGTCGATATATTTCTTAACTATGTACCCAACATATGTGTTTATGAACTGGCTTTGCCTTTTAATCCATGTTGTAAATAAGTATATTGATTACGTCTTCCTTTGTGACCTATTTACCGACAATTGTACATGCATATTTTTATATTACCTACATACCCTATTCAAGGTAGAATTTTCCATAACCATCGGTAACACCATTCATTAAATTGCTGATTATTTCATAAATTAGAGGTCGCGAGAATGTTTTACAAACTTTCTCTAAATTAAAAACGAATTGTAGTCAGTTAATATAAAATTTTGACTGTGGACATAAGATATTTGACATTTAATTTTTAACCTAAAATTTTTCAAATGACCTTTTCATGTTATTAAGTACGTTCACAAATAGATAGATTTTTTTTGTAGTAGAGCTCGACAGAGCTAAGAGTTAGTACCAAGAACGAGACTATACAGTAGCCACAATTGGAAACCTTACATTGTTTGATCAAATAGATAAATATCTTTTGGTTATCTTTATTCGTTTAAATACTTTGTTGTCGTTGGTCAAAATATGTTGGTAATATATCTGAACGTACTTCTTATTACAGTTTTCTGTTTACCTACGCGTCGAATACATCTGGTCACCGAAAGATGTCAGAACGGATACCTACAAAAACAATAGAAGTGAAAATTAAAAAAACTAGTAATGTGTTGTGCAAAACGAAAATGGAAGTAAACTAAGTGTTTTAGTTCTAAATTTCATGTAAGTATCTACTTATATTTACCTATTACATTTACATACCTTTTATACTAATGAATGATTAAGCACTAGCATTGCTGTTTCAAATATAAAACGATTGTTACAATACAAATGTATAGATTGTGTTATTGTGATGATTAGAATTATTTCCCATTATTAGGATTATTGTATGTTTATGTTTGTGTATAATTAGAATGAGCGATTACGTTTAGGATATGTGGTTTAGGTATATTCAAACATTTAGAGCCGGCTTAATTTGAGTACCAGGCAAAACACTGATATTGCAGAATCGAGATCTACAAACAAATCACCACCTCCACGAAACATTGTAAAGTGACTCTACAAACATATCCTCACATAAAACGTGAGATTGATCACTGATCCAGTCGTAAATGAAATGCACCTAGACCCACCCCTTTCGTGTCGGACTTATTAACAGTGTAAAGTCAAATCAGCCAACCGTATTTTTCTACACCGCACAATGCATGTTGCTGCTCAGGGTGTGTACCTACGTTATATTTATTGTAATCCATATGTTTTCTTTAATGGCAACAGCAAGAAATCTGTCGGAGTACCACCTCCAACATTTTATACAAAAGCAGGAAACGGCGCGGCGGTAGTAGGTACAGCCTTTTGTTTCTAAAATTAGATCTGCTCCGTTGTAAGATTGTATTCCGATGGTTTGATGGTTATACATTGCGTATGTCATAATTAATCAAAATACCCTTGCATTCTTCCACGGCTGCCTTAAAATTTGTCACAAATTAACATTTAAATGTTTTTATTTTTCAAATCAATCTTAATGTTGTATTCAGTCACATTTGTTAAAGTATCAAACAGACAAATCTTTTAGGTATTTTTTTTTTAAATTTCGATAAATAAGATTTTACATTTAGCACTGACAAAGTGATAACAAAAAATTGTCACAGTTCGTGGCTTATATTTAATAAATTGGTTAATTTTAGGGTTTCTACCGACATTATAACTTGTAACTTTTGTAACACAATGGGCATTTAGACTTACAGTAAGGTATTTTAGGAAACTTTGTTTCAAACTTTTAAAATACCAGGACGTTAAGTGTAAAATAGGTCAGTACATATAGGTCAGGGGTGGCAATTACATTTTGATCTGGGTCATTCGGGAACTTTTAAGCCGCGTGGGAGTTTATGATCAGCAAATCTCTGTAGGCACTCAAAAAGCATACGTGAAGCTTAAAATTGATTTAGTTTTAAATTCATTAGGTAACTTTTAAAATCGATAGAACTTTGAGAAAAATAATATCCGTTTGTACGAAATTTTAATCTTCGAATCGTAATACGGGAAATACAGGATGTTAATCAAATGTCGTTTAAACTCTAACTGACAAAGATGTCTGTATAAATTTGTAATTTTCGTATTTATATAATACTCCTTTTCAGTATTGCTCAAGATTTGTGGAAACTTATCCTGCCGTCGTTTATATTAAATTAATTTGGAATATCTCTGCTAATTCGGGAAATGTAGGTATCTAAAAGAAAATCGTGATTTAGACAAACTGTTCTGTCTTTCTTATAATGCTTCCAAGAGAAAAAAATTAATGGCAAACTTAACATTATTGCTCAAAGGTCTATTTGAAATATTTCAGTTTAAAACTAAATTTGTATATTGACGTCAGTAACAACTATTCTTGAGCGGGTAGAAAATTTGTGCTTTTATTCTAATTATTAGAAGTATTTGAATTTACATTGTAATTTACTAATATATTTTTTCTTTTTTACAGTATTAGAATATTACCTGCATATTGTTCCCAAATAACGTCTTCTCTGAATCTTTACCTCGGAAATAAGGTAAGAAGTTTTATTTTGTTGTCGTTTGAGTTTTTTACGTACGTATCTTTCGGAAATTTTTCAACATGGTCAAACATTTTAGGTACTTATTATTTTGCCTAAAATTTTAATTCTACATTTTAATTTCGAACATTTTTCTTCAAAATGTGAAGGCAAAATACAGATACCTATTTGTAGAAGAAAAATACAGTGTTATAAATACATTTTTCCAATTAAGGAAGCCCAGAATCAAAGTAACAGTTTTGCTACCAGAGACTATAGGTCCCAGATTATTTGTTATTTTTAGGACTTTTCTTGAATTAAAAGATTGACTTTGATTTTATTTGACAACTGAAAGACAGTGATATGAAAGATACTGACTTTTTTTTCTAAAAAGTTATACTAGATTATCGAATCAATAATATCTCGTCTTTTTCATATATTTGACATTTTGAAAATTGTTCTACGTAAAGAACTTAAAATAACACCTAACTTTTAAACCTGAATGAACTTTTTTCCAGATCACCTTAAAATTAATATACACTTTTACAAGAATTTTATAAAAATTGAAATAAAATATCATCAGTCCATTTTCAAAGTCGTTGCAGAAATAATATAGATTAAGGAAATGTACAAATAATTTTTATTAGATTTAACTATTCCTACAAATCCAGTTTATATACAAGGGTTCCAAAGTAAACAGGACATTTTAAATATAAGAACATCAAAATGTTTTTTGGCAAAACGGATTTATTTTATTCGAAATAGTCCCTTTCCGCTCAATACAGCGATTTTCACGGTCTAAAAACGTGTGAAATTAGTGTTTTAGATCATCTGCTGAGATATCCTTCAGGATGTCGGTACAAGCCTTTTGGATGTCTTCTACGTCCACAAAACTATTTTCTTTTATCGGCGAATGGATTTTTCCGAAAAAGTAAAAGTCGCACGGTGCCAAATCAGGCGAATACGGAGAATGGTTGACAGATAAAATGCGATTTTTAGTCAAAAAAATCGGTCACAAGAGTCGATCGATGAGATGGTACATTATCGTGGAACAAACGCCAACTTCCTTCTTTAGCAAACAAAACCTGACCAAAATTGTTCGTTAATGCTTGTTGGACTTGTATCGAAGATATAAGCTTGATAATTTGTAAAAATCGTCTATATTAGCGGTGATTTGAGATACTTAAACTGCCCGAAAAGCTATAGTTTTATTGATTTGGGTAAAACTTCATCTCAAGTGCTCTTTCTGTAGAAGACACAGTTGACGAAGAAATCACAAACTTTGTCAATAACGTTTTTACCTGAAAATCATATTTTTTGTCCAAATTCGTACTTGTTACAATTAAAGAAAGACAAATGTTACAATTAAATAAAGACAAATGGCTGTACTTAACATTACAAAATTGCCTAAAATCATTACAAAGTTAAGAATACCTAAATAATTAGCTCTCAGCTTCGTTTCTGTGATGACGATTGTCTTAGTAGTGTCTTGGCTTTTCTAGAGACTGACCAAATTTTTTTATTGCTACTGCATCGCTAATCATCGGAGGAAGACAAATTGAGATGAAATATTGAAATTTTCTATTGTTGTCATCAATTTCCTCAGCAACTACATTGTGAAAAAGAATCTGAGGTTTATATTTTAATTCTTTAATATTTTATATACAGGGTGAGTCAAAATTCACTCCCCAGCGGCCGGATATATATTCTAAAATAAAAAATAAAACAAAAATGTAGAATACTAAAATCTCGAAAGCGGAGCCGTTTTCGGAAAATTTTGTAAAGAAAAATTCAAATTTATAATTTTTTTGTTACCATTAAAATCCATTTAAATCCATACAAAATAAAGAATAGCAAAAACGAAGATCCTTCTGGCTTTGGCTAACCTTCAAAAACATTTCCATTTTTGTTAATACACTTCTGCAATCTGTGGTAGAACCTGGCAAAATGTTCTTGTAAAAATTACTGTAATTTTCACCATTCAGTATTCTTGGCAAAAAATATGGACTTATGATCTTTTTCCCGTAAATACCTATCTAAACATTTACATACCAACGTCTTTGCTGATTTGCTGAAAAGAACGTTTTGGAGCTACGCATCCTGTTTCCACAGTACGTATTTCTACATTTTGGATGGTTTGGTGATCGGGATGATGGCGATTCGGAAATTGTTCCCTGCGTACAAACGCTCGGCAGCACGGGCGTTATTGTTACAAGCTCCTAAAGCTTTAAGGGCTCCATATTCTTTAAATAGTGTTTTCCGCAAAGACAAATAATTTCAAACATTTAATAACTGAATAATCTAAAGCTTATCAAATAATAGGAATGTTATGTCATGCCACCTGAGTATTTTCAAAGACGCCGCAGTAAAACGAATAAACAGGTGCAAAAAAACGATCAAACCATCAAGGTTTTAGGTACTGAAATCTACGAAAATACTAACTTTTTTGGACATAACTCCACATGTAAATATTCCTATAACATTTACTTGCTTAGTCCTACATATAAAATTATTTACTTTTATTTATAAGTACGTGAAAATAATTCTTAAAATGTGGGGTTAGAATAACAGAAAACGCATGTTTTATAAACGCTTTTTTATTAGTTATTAATTTATTTGGGTAAATTTAAATGGTAACAATGAATAAACAAACCATCAAGGATTTTATTTTTGTGCTTACTTTTGTTTTACACGTTTTACTTTTCAAGATTTCAGTACTAAAAACGCCAGAAATTTTACCATTTCTCGGCCAGGGATAGTGGCCACCTTAATCATATCGACGT